GTATAAGATTTCTGAGGAGCAGCTGGTGGATTTGAACTGCCAACCTCTTGTTTTACAATCCAGTGCTGATCCTACAGCACCACACCAGGACTCCAGACTAGGGATCTTTAAAACCATTGTTGCTGTTGGTAAGTGCTGTTGAATCAGTCCTGACTCTTAATGACCCTGTATAGGGTTTCCAAGCAGCACCTAGTGGGTTTGAATTATCAATCTTTGGGCTAGCAGTCTAGTGCTTATTCTACAGCATTATTAGGGAGAAACAATAATCTAAAGGAGACCTGGTCTTGCTTTAAAACAAAACAAAAACAATATGGGACCATGGATGTATATTGTTGTTGTTGTTAAGTGCCATTGAGTCAGTTCCCAATCTAAGCAATCCTTTAGAGGGTTCCCAAGGAGTGGCTGGTGGGTTTGAGGTGATGACCTTGTTGTTAGCAATTCAGTGCTTATTCTATGTAGCTAGACCGGGACCCCTTAATATACATGCAGTCCTACATTGTACAGATGAGTGCATACTTGTGAATATGAACAAATGTAGGACACAAGGTTCTAGAAAATACTAAAATCAATGAATCAGGGATTATTAAACTTGGATATTTAAAATTTAGAAAACCACATAATGATTTTAGGCAAAAAAAATTCTTTATATTCACTATTCTCTCTAATTATGAACATAGGTATGAAATCATAATAAAAATCACAGATATTTTCATATCATATTTTAGTTATAGATGCTATCTCAAATTATTATTTATGCTTATATTTATTTTGAAATAACAGTAGTTATTAGATCCAGTACTGGCTCTTTTAATGTGGAGTGGCTGGTGGATTTGAACCGTTAATCTTGCAGTTCAAATCGACATTGTGGTCCAGTGCTTATTAAACGGTGCAACATCAGGACTCCTTGTCTGGAGTGTTGTTGTTAAGAGCCATCAAGTAAGTTCTGACTCATAATGACCCTCTCTATATAAGGTTTTGGAGGGGCAGCTGGTAAATTTGAACCACCGACACCTTGTGGTTCAAACTGCCCTTGTGGTTGAGTGCTTATCCTATAGTGCCATACCGGATGTTCTCCATTTGTTTTGTAGTTCTGTTGGCAGTCTGTGTAGTCCAAGGATCCCTCTACAGAAAAATGTTTTTAAAAAGCAAAAACTTCATACACATGAAGTAGGGCCATTCTTTTCCTCATCCTTCAACCTCCCTACTGCACTACTGAGCCATATTGAACTGTTCTATGAAAAATATGCTTTCATTTTGTTAAGTTTTCGAAAAAAAAAGTTTTGTTTTTTTGAACAGCATTTGTTATTAGTTTCTCTTGAGTGATTTCTGACTCACAGCAACCTCATATGTGCAGAGTAAAACTGCTCCATAGGATTCTCTAGACCTATTGCAAACTGATCACCAGACCTGTCTTCCAAAGTGCCTCTGCATGAGTTCAAAACACCAACCTTTCTATACCAACCAATAAACAATTACTATAAAAATATCCCAAACATGGTAGAGACCTCCTGGGGCCTGAAGAGGCCTAGTGAATAGCGAGGACCAAAGTTTAGATAGGCACAATGCCGAGGTCTTAGCCCCTATCAACCACACCAGAAACACCTCCTTCAATTAGAAATCAAATTTCTTTATAGTAGTAGAAACTTTTCAATCATTTCTGAATTTGTAGACTGAGATTTATAACCACCACACAAAAATGTTCTTATTATTTCTCTCTTCTTCTATTAGAGTAGCAGCTATTGTTTCTCACAATATATGTTAAAGTGCTTTTGAATTTCTCAAACTATATTCAAACACACATATATATGTATTAAAATGGGGTGCTAAGTGCTTCTAACTAAGCTGTTGTTTTGTTCTGGTTTATCTGATCAGAATTATTCTTAGATGTATTTTAACACAGTTGAGAAAAAAATACAGTACCGCCTGCGAATGCCAGAACCTGTGTAAGATGGAAATCTTTCAGAGAAGGAAAGCTCAGCTATCTTTCACTAAATGGATCCCCACAGCCTCCCTCCTAAAAGAAACTATAAAAAATTTTGAGGACAAGAAAAACAAAGCATATCCGGTTAAGTTCTGGCTTGCACAGTTATCACTCTAAGAAGGAAGATTAATATTACATAAATCTTTAGATAAAAAAAATAGAAAGTTATTATTGTTACTTTTTTTTTGAAGGGCCACTGGTTTAAATCAAATTGGCCTGATAGGACACTTGCATGGTATTCAGGAAAGGTGCAAATCTGACAGCACTTTTCTCAAGGCATTAAATTTTATTTAATTTTTTTTTTATCTTCCCTCTTAGATGATTTCACTGTTTTTATCTTAGTCTTACACTAAATGGATCTGTCATTATGAAGTCTCTAGGTTATTAAAAGTTAAGATGCAAAGACTACTGTGATGATAGATTTTTTCCAAACCTCAAGAACTTACTGTGAAACTAATCTATTGAACTGAAAGTCAATGTATGAGTAAATGAGATTATGTGCTACATAGTTTGGGTTTGGGCTTTTAAACATATAAAATATATAATCCATTCATTCTTAAATGTTAATATAAACATCAGTATGTCTTGATCTCTGTTGTAGACTCAGCTCCAAACATAGTCTAGCAAATATTTTTCTATGAATGAAAGAATTAATCAAATGTCATTCATTGAAGTTATGTACAGTTCATGGCATTCATGAAAATTTATTCATATAGAGTTGTCTCTTTAACAAATAGAGCAAGATTATAAAGCTTAAAAGTCAAATCTGCTATAACAGTCAGTAACCCATTGATTTTTGAAATTAAGGTGAGTACTTTCACTGAAGTCAGAAACACTGCAGTATTGTATTGTTACAACTAAGACTATTCCTAAAATTCTGATTTTGTCTATTCCCACTGTCCATTTTTTTTCCTCCCAGAACTATTTAAAAGCAAATCCTAGGCATATTATTTCAGTATGTATATATATATAT